TACAAACATTAGCCAGGTGTGTTAACATGCCTGTAGTTGCAGCTACTTGGGAGGCTGAGGTGGGAAGATCACTTGAGGTCGAGGCTGCAGTAAGCTGTGATTGTGCACTGCACTCAGCCTGCATGACAAAGAGAGACCCTGTCTAAAAAAAGAAAGAAGAGAAAAAGGAAAAGACAAACCACAGCATAGGAGAAAATATGTATAGAAGACACATTTTATAAAGGACTGGTATCTCAAGCATACACAGAATTCTTAAAACTCAAAAATAAGAAAACAACCAACCCCCTTAAAAAGTGGGTCAAGGCTGGGCGTGATGGTTCATGCCTATATTCCCAACACTTTGGGAGGCGTAGGCATGGTTCATCACTTGAGGCCAGGAATTTGAGACCAACCTGGACAACATGGTGAAACCACATCTCCTCAAAAAATACAAAATTGGCCAGGCACGGTGGCTCACGCCTGTAATCCCAGCACTTTGGGAGGCTGAGGTGGGTGGATCACCTGAGGTCAGGAGTTCAACACCAGCCTGGCCAACATGGTGAAACCTCATCACTAATTAAAAAATAGAAAAATTAGCCGGGCATGGTAGTAGGCACCTGTAATCCCAGCTACTTGGGAGGCTGAGAAAGGAGAATTGCTTGAACCTGGGAGGCATAGGTTGCAGTGAGCCAAGATCGCCCCACTGAACTCCAGCCTGGGCGATGAAAAAGAAACTGTCTCAAGAGGAAAAAAAAAAAAGAAATACAAAACGTAGCATGGTGGCATGCACCTGTAGTCCCAGCTACTTGGGAGGCTAAGGCAGGAGGATCGCTTGAGCCTGGGAGGTAGAGGCTGCAGTGAGCCAAGACCGTGCCACCGTACTCCAGCCTGGTTGAGACCCTGTCCCAAAAAAAAGAGTGGGCCAAAGCACTTAACAGATACCTCATGAAACCAGATATACAGATGGCAAACAAGCATATGAAAAGATACTCCACATCATACGTCAACAGGGAAACGCAAACCAGAACAATGAGGTACCACACACCCCTTTCAGAATGGCAAACATCCGAACACTGACACCACCAAATGCTGGTGAGGATCTGGAGCAGTAGGAACCCTCGTTCACTGCTGAGGAGAATGCAAAATGCTGCAGCCACTCTGGAAGACAGTTTAGCACAAGCTTGTCCAACCCGAGGCCTCCAGGCTGCATGCAGCCCAACACAAATCCATACGCTTTCTTAAAACATTATGAGATTTTTTTACTTTAAGCTCATCAGCAATTGTTAGTGTATTTTATGCGTGGCCCAAGACAGTTCTTCCACTGTGGCCCAGAGAAGCCAGAAGACTGGACACCCATGGTTTAGCAGTTCTTTACAAAAATAACAGTCTTCCCACATATTAAAGCAATGGTATTCCCTGGCATTTACCCAAAAGAAGTGAAAGCTTATGACCACACAGAACCCTGCATGAGGATGTTTATAATGGTTTTATAACTGCCAAAACTTGGAAGCAACAAAGATGTCCTTTAGTAGGTGAATGAACTATGGTACATCCAAACAATGGACTATTAATTAGGGAAAATAAGACATGAACTATTGGTCAGGCATGGTGGCTCACGCCTGTAATCCCAGCACTGTGGGAGGCCGAGGTGGGAAGATCACTTGAGGTCAGGAGTTCAAGACCAGCCTGGCCAACATGGTGAAACCCTATCTCTACTAAAACATACAACTTAGCTGTGCACGGTCGTATGCGCCTGTAATCCCAGCTACTCAGGCAGCTGAGGCAGGAGAATTGCTTGAATCCGGGAGGCGGAGGTTGCAGTGAGCTGAGACTGCGCCACTGCACTCCAACCTGAGCAACACAGCGAGACTCTAGTCTCCAAGCCATGGTTAGACATAGAGGAAACTTAAATATCTATTAGGGAAACAAGTAACCTGTAGCAGAACAGATGGACAAAAGAGATGTAGCCTTGGGTACCTGGGATAAGATTATCTAAAAAGTAAAATCAGGATTATTCTTCATTTTAAATTGGGCATACATATACGTGTTTCATCACTTTTCTACAAAGCCACAAAAAGCAAAATCAGAAGAACAATTGCCTCCATAAAATCTAGACGTGTTAAAAAGATTATAAAAATTGTCTCATTTTCATTTAAGACTTCGAGTGGGAATAGCCTTTCCAAGCAAGACACAAAGCTAAGCCAGAGGAGAATAATGCAGCGTTTCATGTAACACGGATGAGGAGGAACCAGTG